TTCCTCTTCCCTCCCTAAAAAGGAGGAGAAAACATACTTGAGGTAGTTACGTGTCTCCAGCACCGTTTTCAGTCTCCAAATACGGTGTTGTGCAATAAGTGCTTTCGGGATCCAGAAGCCTCTGTGCAAGCAGGAGGGCCCCCCTTTGCTCATCCCTCCTGGAGCTGTGGCCATGGCAGTGTGTCCCCAGAGCCCCTCTGGGGACTGGAGAGCTGTGGGTGACCTCCAGAGAGGGAGGGATAACACTGCAGTAGGATGGATACCCTTCACCCTGCTCATGGGCCTGTCCCGACACTCGTGCTTTCCACTGGCAGAGTGTCCAGGCTGAAGCCACCCTGTGTTTCCTTGCCTGTGGTGTGTGTATGGCCAGCGGGGAGCCCCTCCTGCTCAGAGATACCTTGGCTTTCCAAGGGAGCATGGACTATGCATCCCTGATCTGGTAAGGATTTCCCTCCTCAGTTCTCATCCCTTTGTCACAGTGGCTGATGGAGCAGCTGGAGCTGACCCTGCTCTCCTGCTTCCCCCTCGTTACTTCCCCGAGTCCCTGGTTTGTTCTGTGCTCTTGTGACACATCACAGCTCCTGCTGGAGGTCACAACTCACTCGTCAGGTGTGTCTGGACCCTGTGTTGTGTGCATTGCCAAAGAGAGATGATGCAAGGAGCAGTCTAATGGCAAGAGAAAAGGAAGAAAACGAAGCATGACCAAAAAGCAAGAGCCAGGCTCGTGACTGCATCGCCCTTTGCAGCATCAGCAGCCAAGGTGGTGCCTCTGGCTGGGGGGAGCAGGCTGAGGGCAGTGAAACAGCCCCGGGGCACGTGCTGGGCTGCATCAGCTGCTGCTCTGCTCTTGCTGGGCTTGATTCCCCTCAGGGATCAAACTCCTCTTGGTCCTTTAAGGAAAGCAGAATATTTCTACAGGTTCTAGTGCCACTGAGGGCAGTCCCCTGGCACCAAACCCGAGAGCCTTTGACAAAAGGTCCTTGGCCAAGGTGTGCTGGGCTGGCCAGAGGGTGATGAAACACAGGAGGAACCTCCTGGAATCTCAGCTGAGCTGCAAATGGAGCAGGCTGTGGGGCTGAACCCTGACCTGCTTATGACTCCTAGCCAGGGGTCCATCTCACCAGGCTTCCCTGGGAAGCTCAGTTCCTTTGCAGAGCAGTTCTCAAGCTCTGAACCAAGGTGGAGCCATGTTTGGGTCCTTTCCTTGTCACTTGTCATTATGGGCTCTCTCTTTTCCGACTGTTCAGGGAATGGATGGCCCTGCCTTTGGCCAGTGGAACAGCACACCATGGTATTACCAGCGTGTTCCTGAGACTGTTCAGAGATGTTTTTGTGGGTAGAATGGTCTCTGTTTCCTATCATTTCACTACCCAAGAATTTCCTCTGCCCTGACTTGCTTTCTCTCCTCTAACAGCAAGAATGCTCTAAGGCATGGAAAGCCAAAACAGAAATGTTGCAAGGAGTGTCTCTCTAGTACTAGTGAGCAGGATTTTCTTTTCTTTGGGCAGTTTGTTGACACAGGTCTGATTTTAGCTTTTTAATTTTTTTAAGCATTACAAATATCTTCAAACTCTTTATCTAAGGTGATACCAAAGTTCAGCTGCAGTTCCCAAATGGGCTTGGGCATAGGTAGAGCCTGAGATAGCTGGAGCATTTGTTTCACATTATCTTACTGGGTTTGGGTTTTTTGCAGTGTCTTGCATATTTTTTTTAAAGAAATCTCCTTTTATGCCCATGTGAGGAGCTGGAGCAGAGCAGTGAGGAGAAGCTCCGTGTCTGGGCAGGACATGCTGCTGACTGGGCAGCAGTGCCCGTTCTGTTTGGCCCCTCCACAGGGATGGGAATGAGTGGCTCCAATCTCCCTCTGCTTCCAGTGGAGTGAGGAATAACTTTCTCCTTCAGAGACCTGGCTGGGCTTTCAGTGCCCAAAAGTAATGGCTCAGACTTGCTTGGTTTTGCCTTGGAGAAATGGATCCCCAGCTCTCGTTTAGAGCCCAAAGGCCCCTGGGGTCGGGAGCACTGGTCAGACACGTCCATCCACCCGAGCTGGCTGTTCCCCCACAGTGCTGTGGGAGAGCACCCGTGGGACTCCAGCTCTGCCCACTGTGGGCTGCAGGACACTCAGCCTGCCCTTGGCAAGGGACGGCTGTGCCCAAGCCATTGCTGGGAGTGTTTGGAGTGAAGAGCAGTTAACTTTGATTAAACTTAGGCAGGTAGCAGGAATCATGTTTGGACAAGCAGAATAAATTACCAAGAAAGGGACTTGTTCTCACTGAAGCAACGAAGTGGCACATGGGGTTTGTCTCCATGTGGGGGTCACTGGCTGGTGCCACCCCAAAGGGCTGCAAGTTCTTGCAGTGACACTTCCTTGGGCTCCAAAGTGTCAGGTTGTTTTAGGAGGGCTCACATGCTGCTTCTTGTTACTGACTGTGCTTTTCCCTGTGCTTTTCCCCTTGTGTGTAATGAACCTTTTCCCAGTGAGTTTATTTAATCCAGATGTTTGTATTTTAGACAAACCACCACTGACAGTCCCTTGCTGATACTCAGCTTCTGTCTGACTCACTAAGATCAGAGTCAGTTAAACCCATCAGTCAGTGGGTGCCTGGCACACAGCTCCAGAACTGGCAGGATTGTGAGTGTTATGTGGAAATCTTAAATGCCTTTATCCCTCTTGGAGAGCTGGCACAGGGCTGAAGAACCAAAAATGTCCTCTCTTTCTGGATATTAGAGGCAGAGTGGAGTGTTTGGGCATGTTAAGGTAATTTTTAAGATGTATGTTTATTAACTCCTGGGGTGAGAGATCTTTCCACTGGCTTCAAAATGTTGGGACAAACTGCAGGTGGAAAATTGAGATGAAAATTACAGGTGAAAAATGAGGCAGGAGTGAAATAACAGTCCTAGGGCAAAAGGAGCTGAAATGGGCCATTTTGTACCCCTTTGGCTGTGTTTCCAGGATGAGCAGCCTTGTGTAGGGAGGCATGTAAAGATCTGTCATCTACCTTAAAACTGGCAAACAAACCTCTTGTCATTTGTAGAACATCTGTTTATAGAAACTTGGTCCTTGTTAGCAAGTTTTACTTGTTTCCAAATAAGTGGAATGTCTTTCCTGAGTGCCATTAAATACCCTCTTCCTCCTGAAGGCTGCAGAAGGAGTTTGAATGTCAGAGAAGACCACCGGGTGCCCCAAATCCATGCAGGAGCTTTGAGGACCCTGGGAGCTGGTGCTGGAAGTGGGGCAGGTGGATGCAGAAGGAAGGAAGGCTGTCAGCATCATCACTGGCTTCACATCCCAGCGGAGCTGCAGAACCTGGAGCTGCTGGACAGAGCTGGGGCAGCCCAAGGTCCCCATGGGGCTGGGGTGCAGCATCTGTGCCTTCACCTGTTCTGTTACTGCTGCTGATCTCTCCCTTTGAAAATAGGTTTTGGCAAGGGCAGCCTCTGCCAGCGTGACTAGTAGTGACTTAAACGGTGTATGATCTTGTAATGAAAGACTGTCACAACTCAGAGACACACACAGACTGGGCTCAGATTCTGTGGGCAGGTACCAGCCCTCCCCAGCACTGGAAACCTCTGCAACCTTGCCTGTGCTTTGCTGCAGTCTGAGCCCCCAAGCCTGTCCCAGGACCAGGGAGGGGGATCCTGCTGGGTCCCTCCCAATGATTCTGTGATTCAGATGGGCCCTCAGTGTGTGTACAGGTATGAGTAGTCAGTGCCTGGAACAAGATCCCGTCTCAAGGGGGATTAAAGATCTTCCATAAAAGCTGGATAAAGAGGTGTGAGCGTGTGCTGTCATGAGCCCTCATGGGACATGCAGACTGTGAGGTCCAGAGTGGTCAGAAACCTGCATGGGAGTGACCCTTGGCAGTGCTTGGGGACTGAAGGTGGTGATTTTTGCAGCGGTGGATGGTGGGTTAAACCCTGTGGTTTGATCTCTGACTGCACAGACTTGGATCTGCTGAGCTGGGGAGATGCTCCCGTGGTGCTGCCATTGCTCCTGCTGGGTGTGGGACAGTCCTTGTTTTCCTTCAGCTCATTTTTACAGGGAACAAACATGTCTTTCAGGCAGGAGCCTGACAGCTCCTGTATAAACATCCAGGCTGAGATAAATCCACTGTCTCGTGGTGTCACCTCGCCCTGGTGCCTCTTGCAGCACTTTGTTTTTGTCTCCCACTGTGCCCTCCTGCGTTCTTCACGTTCAGACAGCCATGTTTGATAAATTCATGGGACAGACACTAAAACAGCTTTATTTGCCAGTGGTATTGGCTCCTGGGGTGGGTTTTTGCTCTCGTCTCTCCTGTTGGGAGGTGTTTGGATGTCTCTGCAGCAGTGAGTGCCCATGGATATGAGTGAGTTTTTTCTGTGTTCAGTGAGCAGCACAAAGTGCAGCACAACCACAGCCCTACATCCCCTATGTTCCTCCCCTACCACCTCCCCAGAACCTTTCCACTGTGTTTCCTGTTCACTGTGGAAACCACCTATAAAGCCCAGTGCCAGAGGCATGGAAACATGCCACATGCCCAAAATCCCCTTGGAGAAAGACCAAGGAGGTCCCAGCTGCAGTAAAACAAGTTTAGTGCAGGTTATGGTAACACACCTCCATGTCTCCTGTGTGATCTGAATTGCACAGATCCACAAGCAGTATAGGAGCTGTATAAACTGAATCAAAATTGCCTTTAAATGAGACCTGAGGTCTCTGTGGATGAGGTTAAAGTGGCTGTCCAGTGTGGCCATGTTCACTGGCTTAGATGTGCCATCCTCTCCATGCTGTTCCCTTTTCCCTCCCTTTGAAGTGAACACCTCCATCCCAAGCACCCTAAATAAAGGTGTAGTAGGGCTGCATGGACATGGTCAGTTGGCATCTGGGAGGGTTGAGGCTTCATGGGACATAAGGAATGGCTGAAGAAATCAATGTCTGAAGGACAAAACCCGCTCTCAGTGCTCTGTGTGGGATTACCCCTGAGGATGAAGCCTCTCCAACACGGTGTGCTGCTCTGTTGCAGATGTCGGGGAGCCAGCCGCAGCTGGGGAGAGCTGTGCCCTGCTTGCGCTGCCGAGGGACCTGCACGGGCTTCGAGCCACATTCCTGGAGGTAACATCCTGTCCTGGAGGGGCCCTGCCTGGCCATTGCCCTTGGTCCTGTTGGTGTTCAGTCTCTGGTGACTCTGAGAGCAGAGATGCTGGGCTGAGGGGATGCTCGTGCCACTGCTCTCCATCCCCCTCCTCACTGCTCCTGCTCATTTATTCTTTGGGTTAAAATCTCATCCACAAGTGTTTAAAGCAAGCTGAGGCTCCGTGCAGTGGGTTTGTTCCACTTTTGCTGCCACTCTGCAGCCTGCTGTGCTTGGACAGCCACCCAGTGCCCTGCTCTGTGTGGGTGCCAGAGCACAGCCCCCTGCCCGCCCAGACCCTGCCTGCCACACACTGCCTTCTCAGCTTGTTAGGGAATGCTGAAAACAAGCACAACCTGCTTGCTGTGGAGCTAGGGAAGTGCAGACCCAAATGATAATCCCACACTGTCAGTAGGAGCCGTGCTTAGTGCCTGGCTGTCACCCTTGTCCATGGGCTCAGAGCTGGGGTGTGACCAGGAGCCGTGGGCTCGGGCTCGGTGCTGTGTCTGCTCCCGTCCTGCCTCCTCACAGCTGAAATGTTGTGCTTAGTGCCAGAGCGTTTCATTTGATACTTCATTTTCAGTACTTCCTTTTAAGAGCTCTAGTTTAAGTGAACAGCCACTGGTGGCAGTAGCTGGTGGAAGCTGCCCAGGACAGTGTGCCCTGCTACTCCCTGCCCTAACAAAGAGGCTTTCAAATGGAAGGCAGCTCTGCATATGTCGCTAATTAAAAGAGAATTAGTGCCCCCTGAGCTGCCTTGCAACACTGGGCTCCTTTCTGTGTGCCTGGAGAGTGCTGGGGGCTGTGAGGGTCTGTAGCAGCAGCACAGGGAGCCTGTGGTCCAGCTGTGCTGGCTGCAGCTGGAATGCCTTGGAGACTGTCAGCTCCCAGTTTTGATACCTCAGCGGGGTGAAATCCAAACTTTAAAACACTCACTTGGTGGAAGAACTACTCTTTTTTTTTGTTAATTGACTTCATTAGAGACTGGTTTGACTCATTCTTGTTCCAGAATCCTGCTGAAATCCTCAGAATTGTGTCAGAGTTACTTTGTCCCTTTTGTTGTTAGTGTTTGATGGCAGTGCTGGCCAGCAGAGAGGGGTCTTAGACACTTGTCTGCATGATTTATAGCTATTACAGTTCAAATTATAATCAATTAAGCATCAGTTCCTTCTAGCAGTCACTTTTTTAATGCCACGTAAAGCTTCAGGAGAGATGAGGCTGGTGCTGGGTTGTTGGAGTCTAATGAGGAGACTAATTTCTAATTTAGTGATGCTTGAAGGAGTTTTTGAAGTTTAGGGGAAGCAGCAGCTCCCCACAGGTGGGAGTTTTTGTAGTGACAGGACAAAGGGGAATGGTTTCACACTGACAGAGAGCAGAGTTGGATGGGATATGGGAAGAAAATCTTCCCTGGGAGGGTGGGCAGGCCCTGGCACAGGTTGCCCAGAGAAGCTGTGGCTGCCCCAGCCCTGGAAGTGTCCAAGGCCAGGTTGGACAGGGCTTGGAGCAACCTGGGCTAGTGGAAGGTGTCCCTGTGCATGGCAGGGGGTGGAACTGGATGAGCTTTAAGGTCCTTTCCAACCCACACCATTCCACAAATTGCACTGAGCCTTCTGTCCTGCCGTGTAACCCTAGTCTGTGTTTAACCCTTGGAAGAGGCTCCATGAGCACTCACCTCCCACAGCCCAGCTCACATCCAGAGGGTGATCTCTTGTGGCCCACAGGAAGATCTGCAAGTCGTGCAAGTGCAGCCAGGAGGAGCACAGCCTGAGCTCGGAGCTGGAGGATGACCGCAAGATCGGGCGCCTGCTGGCGGACTCCAAGTACTCCACGCTGACGGCGCGGCTCAAGGGCGGCGACGGCGTCCGCATCTACAAGAGGAACCGCATGATCGTCACCAACCCCAACATCTCGGGCAAGGACCCCACCTTCGACACCATCACCTACGAGTGGGCTCCCCCGGGGCTCGCCCAGAAGCTGGTAAGGCAATCCATGGCCTGTTGGGTGGGTCACTGGGCTGGGAGCAGAACTCAGCTCTGGAATGAAGTCACTGGGGAAAACAGTGAATCCTGGTTTGCCTCAGAGAGCAGACGTGAACCAAGCACTCTGTGTTTTGGAAAACCCTGTGAATAAGCAGAGTAGGTAGGAGAGGGGGATGGAATGCCTTTGGGGTTTATAGGTTGGTTTACATTTCTAGGAGAAGTTTTAATGGATTTAACAACTAGAAAGCTCAGCCTTTCGGTAAAGCTCAGATCTAATAAAAGCACTGCTGAGGAGAGATCCCATCTCTGCCGTCCTACAGCCCTGCACAGCCCACATCAGCGTCTGCCAGCTCCAGGCGGGATGTGGGAGCAATTCCTCCAGGCCTTCTTGGGATGTCTGAGCTGGGCAAGTGGAGGAGAGAGAAGGGGCTTTGACTTCTCCTGGTGGTGGGCAGCATGGAACTGGGGGGCAGCTGGGTGGTTGTGCCCCAGGGCCCCCCATCTCCTGCTCACAGGGAGCATCCCTTCACTGCTGGAGGATGTCCTCCCCTGGAGCAGTGGGCTCAGACCTCCATTCCCAGTGTTCCTCACACTCCCTTTGAAGAGCAGCAGCAGCCCAGCCCTGTTCCAGCAGACTTGTGGAGCTTCCTGCCAGGGCATGTGAGCCTGGAGCAGAGCTGAGCTCTGTGCTCAGAGTGTCCTGCCTGCATGGGCAGGAGCTCTGCCCACCACTGCTGCCCGAGGAACCCCTCCCAGATCCAGCTCTGGAGCTAGGAATTTTTTAACTTACAGCTAAATAGAATCTGGTCCAAGTAAAAAATATTTTGTAAAGAGAACTCAGGACAAAAAGGGAAGATGGGGAGTGTGGTCCTGTGCCAAGGCCTGGATCTGAAACCAAGCCCCCAGCCCAGCTCCACCTCCCTCCCCTGCCCAGTTTCCTTCCGGAGCAGCTGTGTGGGAAAGGATGGAAGTGGTTTTCGGCTGTGGAAGAGTGAGCCAGCAGAGCATTTCTTGAAGGAAAGCATTTAACTGGCTTTTCACTGTGCTGTGGTATAAAACCATTCTGTATTCTACTGTCAGGGGTGGGCAGGGAAGAGCTGCTGCTCCTCAGATGACACAGATAGCTTAAAGCTGCTGAAACCACAACCAGATTTTTTTGAAGAAGAACTGGGGATACAAATGTGGAAGTGCAGCTGCAGTCCCCAGAGACAGACTGGTTAATTCTCCTTAAAACCCACTGGACAGGCTGACTGTGAGCTCTGTACTGGGAATGCAGGGGGGTAATTGGAGCAGAGCCACTGGGCTTAACGAGGGGCCGTGACCCTCATGCACCCCCTGCCCCGCTGCTCCATCGCTGTGCTCGCAGCCACCACTTCCCTCCTGTGCTCAGGGGTGCTGGGAGAATAGGGGAGCTGGTGAGGGATGGGGACACCAACGATGGTGCTCTTCCACCAGCCTGGGATTTATTGGGAACCCAAGATCCGTGGTGGCTGCAGCGCCGTGCTCCCAGTGCCTGGGGCAGGCTCAGCTCTTTGCCCTGAGGGATGCCCAAACTCTGTGACTTCTGGGCTGATTTTATCTTCCATGGCCCTGGAGCCTTCTCCTTGGAAGTGTGTGTTTGGGGTGACCCCGAATGCAGCCCTGTGGGAGCCCAGGGGCACTGGGGAAGCTGGGGACATAGTGGGGAGATCCCAGCACTCCCCCATCCTGCAGCATCCAGCTCCATCCCTGCAGTGCTGGCAAAGGGCAGCTCCAAGGGTACAAAATATTTCAGTTTAGGTTTTATAGAGAGAACTCAGGGTAAAAAGGGGAGATGGAGAGCATGGTCCTGTGCCAAGGTCTATGTCCAAAAACAAACCCCCAGCCCAGACCCACCTCCCTGAAGGTGGAAGGTCAAAGATTTTATGAATGCTTTTGATCTCTTTATAGTGCCTGGATGTGCTGGAATATATCTTGGTTCAAGTAAACAACGTTCAGGAGCTTTGGAGACAACCTTGATAAATTTTGGCTTGAAGATCAACTTGACAAGCTTTGAGGAGAAGAGCTGGATGTCAGCCACTCTTGGGATAGTTTAAAAGGGATTTGGGCCAAAAAGCTGTTAGTGCATAACTGCCTCGCTCCAGTGGTTTCCTTCTGAAGGCAGGCTGCGAACTTGGGATGGCTTTTAACCTTGTTGTGCTGAAGTGGTTGGTCGATAATAGGAGGAAGTTCAGAGCACATTCTCATTGAGCGGTGCCTGGAGAAGTCATGCAGTAGATACTTGGGGTCCCTGGGGAGAGCAGAAAGAACAGGTCATAAAATAGCTCCAAGATCAGTAGTGAACAAGGAAATCCTAAAATGCTCTTCCTCAAAATTACCTGCACTCAGGCAGCACAGTGAAGCATTGGCTGTAACAATATGTGGTAGCAGCAGACATAGCAACTTTTTATTATCCTTCATGTCAGTGTTTGGTGTCAGGTTGGATTTTTTTTCCCCATATCTTTTCTCTGGACACATTCGATGACATCTGCAATTGTATCTTCAAGCATTCCCTTGATCAGGAAGCGACATCCCATCACGTGTCAAGGCAAATATTGAAACCTGTCCCTGAGCAGGCTTTAGGGAAGGCTTGTGGTTTTGTTTTTCTGGCTCTCGGCACAGACTCTGTATTGGGAATGAAGAGGCTGGAGTGGAACAGGAGGCTCCAGGTGCCCACGTTGTTCTCCTCTGTGTGAGTGCTGGTGCTGTGGCTGAGGGTGGGGCAGGACAGCACGTGCTGTCCTGGTGTCCCTGGTCACACAGCACTGGCTTTGGTTTTTCCTTTGCAGTTGTAAGATACCCCTGGCAGTGCCTGTGTGAGCCTGGGAGGAGCAGTCAGGGAGTTCTTGTCCCTTTCTCCTGTCATTCCCATTAGGATTCCTCACTCCTGTGAAAGCCATTAGTGCACCGGATCACTCCCCCCAGCATCCTGCAGTTCTCCAACCTGCTGTTCCTGAGCAGCAGCTTCTTCCCCAGAGCACCAGCCTTCCCAGAAAACTGGGCATCAGCCCTGCCACTGCACAGGGACACAATGTACTGAGCCTTGATGTCTAATTTACCAGTGTACAGTGATTTTAACTTGCACCCCAAGACACAGGGAAGCCCTTTAAAGGAAGCCCTGCTAATTTCCTGTCAGGAATTCTGCCTGGCAGCACTGTTCTCTGGCTCAGAGTAGCCCAGGTGGAAGGGACTTGGAAGTTTTTCCCAAGGTGATGAGTTGTTCAGTGCTGTGCAGGCATTTCTGTATTTAAAAGCCCAGCCTGAAGCAGCCCATGTGCCACAAACAGTTAAATCTCTCTGCTAATTTTTTTAAATTGAGTTCTCAAGTGCTGACCCAGTAAGAAGCAAATCTAATGCAGCTGGATGCTGGTCTGACAGGGAATGGCAGGGAGCCAACTGGCTGCCCTGTCACTCTTTGCACTACAATAGGAAAAATGCCGGAGTGGGAAACTCCCTTCCCTTTTCCCCAGCCAGACAAGTTAACTGTGCAGCTTCCATGTCCCACAAGCACTAACCCAGCCTGGGACAGAGATGGGTTTGCTCTGACTTTAAGGTAGTGGCAGTTGAATTGTAGACTTTATTTTGGATATTGTCTTGGCATTTCCTTTCCATATCACAGGGCATTGGTGACCAAATACCTTTCATCTGCTGGGAAATCAGTAGTGGGGTGGAGTTGGTGCCTGTTGGTGTTCCAGACTCAACTGCTATTTAACTACTTTTTCCTGTATTAAGATAATATTTTTGATTGATAAAAGGGGATCTTTAAACTGTGCTCTGTGAGCCCGGGGAGGCTCTGGGATGGTCCCAGGACAGCCCCTTACCCACTCCCTGCAGCTCTCGCTGTCCTAGCATGAGGCAGAAGGAAACTGGTCTTGAATTTTGATGTTTATGAGCTTTTAGACTTTTCAGCAACCTTGTTGTCAAATTACATGGAAAAGTGTCCTGGTAGTGCCAGCGAGGGAGGGTGTGCTGGGATCTGGGTGTGAGCCAGCAAAGCAGGTCTGTCTGTGCTGCTTTGCTATGCTGGGCAGGCTGGGTTTTGTTTCAAAACAAAACAAACCAAAACCTCTCCAAAAACAGGCAGCCTGGTTTTGAGGATGAAGTGATTAAGTACAGCCTGGCTGCCACCGGCATCTGAGCCAGTTCAGCCTTTTGTTTCCAAACCGTGGGTTAAAACACCTCGAAGGGAGAAGGGAGGGGAAGGGTCACGTTTTCTGCCACCACTCCATAAGATGGGTGGAGCATCTTATGCCAAGCTCTGTGCTTCCCTGCCACAGGCAGCTCGGGGTGACTGGGTCTGTCCCCATGCAGGCCATGCAGTGACTGGGTCTGTCCCCATGCAGTAACTGGGTCTGTCCCCATGCAGTAACTGGGTCTCTCCCTGTCCAGGCCATGCAGTAACTGGTCTCTCCCATGCAGGCCATGCAGTGACTGGGTCTGTCCCCATCCAGGCCATGCAGTAACTGGGTCTGTCCCCATGCAGGCCATGCAGTGACTGGGTGTGTCCCCATGCAGTAACTGGTCTCTCCCGTGCAGGCCATGCAGTACATGGAGCTGATGCCGAAGGAGCTGCAGCCGGTGGCGGGCACGGACGGGGCGCTGCAGCGGCGGCGGCGGCTGGCGAGGCAGCTGCCGCTGTACGACCAGGACCCGGCGCAGTGCCGCGGCCTGGCCGAGGGCGAGCACGGGCTGATGGAGGAGTTTGTCAAGAAGTACAAGGCCGAGGCGCTGGGCGTGGGGGAGGTGGCACTGCCCGGCCAGGGCGGCAGCGGCGGCGGGAAGGACGAAGGGAAGCCCCAGGACAAGAGCATCGAGTCCAGCAAACCCCCCGAGTCCACCAACGGGACCCTGGAGAACGCACCTGCGGCCGGGCACTACGTGAGTGCTGGGACAGGATGGGATGGGATGGGATGGGGTGATGGAGGGATGATGCTGCTCTGGGCCTGGGGAGCCTTCAGGAATACAGTCAGACTCAGCTGGATGGGGGAAAGATGGCACCAGCCAGAGTGGTCTGTCCTTTGTCACCACCCTGCTGCAGGTGCTCAGCCACATCGTGGTGTGCTTTGGCACAGCACTGGGAAGCACCCTGGAGAGACCCTCTGCTCCAGCCAGCCCTGCTGAGCACAGGGGTCTGTCTGACAGGGGTGAAAGGGGGTTGCTCCCCCATTGCCCTCCCTCCACGGCAAAGGCCCAGGTGAGGGGATTCTTGCTGTAGGAGCTGGTGATTTCAACTTCGGAATCTTGGCAGCTCTGAAAGGTTGGGCATCCCTGGATGATGGTTTAGTGGGCGTGGTGGGATTCGGTTGAAGGTGAAACTTGATGAGCTTGGAGGTCTTTTCCAATCTTAATGATTCTGTGGTTCTGTGATGTGAGTCAATAAGGTACTTGCAATCAGAAACTGTTTCTCTGTGAGCTAGTGTTTCCAGAGGGGCTTCCAGCCCAGAGTGAGTGGAAAGACCACAACTGACAGGAGGTGGTGGCTCAGTCCATTTACCACAGAGCTGTGAACATGGAGACAGTGCTCCCAGGGCTGTAATTGCTCTGGGGAGATTTCAACAGCCACCCTGTGTCCCTGGGAATACAAATACATTGCCACAGGGAAATGATTGAGATTCTCCAACACCCTTTTAGATTTATGTTCCCCCAGTGCTGTCTGGAGTGGCCTCTGTGGCTGCTGAACAGATGCTTATCATAAAATATGGTGAGTGGAAATATCTTGTCCTGGCCCTTGTGAGGGTGACTTGCAGCAGAGGATTTAAAGCTGAAAAAACAAATGGTGTCCAAGTGTTTTTAAGAGGAGATTTTTCCTGCCATTCCTGCACTGAGGTTGTACATGTTAAGAGCAGTCTTCATTTTCAGCCCATATTGGGTAATGTCTCCCCTCTGCCATGGCCTGTTAATGTGCATCTGACTTTGAGTCCAGTGGCACAGTAAAGGTTTGCACTATTGCAACAAAACACCAAAGAATTCTAAGCTAAAAAAATAGGCCCAAAAGGAAGGTTTCCTTTAAACATTTCAATGTCATCCTAGTGATAAAGGTTTACTTAAACTGCAAATTCGTCCTTTCAAATAAATAAATACATAACTGTGATGTTATTCTCCTTGATCTGAAGCATCATTTTTCTCAAGGCACCAGCTGAAAAATGGAACAGCTTCCAAAGCAGGGGCAGATCCAGTGGGATGGGCACACTGTGCAGCCCAGTGCATGGCAGACCCATGAGGGACTGGGGCTGCTGGCCATGCTGACCACAGACCTCCTGTGCTCCCTCTGGGTTAATTTGATCTGCCATGCAGGAATTAATGCACCTGAGCTGATAGGAACAGGCTGTGTCCCAGGATCTGGAATGTGCTGCACTTCCAGGTCTACTGGTTTTAACAAAACTGCCCTGGAAGAAAAATTCTACCATAGAAAAATGAGATTTAGTGCTTCACTGTGCAGTGTGTGAGGTGAGAGTAGGGGTGAGCAGAATGGAGAGATGGACACGAAGCGACTGAGAAATGAGGTGCATGAAGCTGGTGACACTGGAGGCTTTTGTGGTGTTGATGTAATTAGGGGTTAAAATGCAGATCAGCACGCTCCAGGTGTGGAGGTTTGGGTTCCTCTCTGTTTGTATCACCATCTCCTGTGTGTCCTCTAAAGTTTGGATGCTAAACACGACGCATGCTCCTGAGTCTGAGAAAGCTCTCCTGAGCCTTCCTGCTCTGTGGCTCTCTAGGGTGCTGTGGGTGATGTCTGTGGTGCCACCACCCTGCCCAGGGACACTCCAGGACATGCTGTCCTCAGCTGGCAGTGTGTTTGCCCCAACCCTCAAGGCCCTGCAGGATTCAGCCACGAGAAGGGCTCTTGGGGACAAAATGAGCACCTTCAGTTGAAGAGTTTGTGGGGAAGGAGATGCTGAGTAGCTGCTTTGGAAATCATGGTTCTCAAGCAGCTCATGTGGTGTTTCGTCATTAAGCCCATTAGAAGTAGGACAGAGATTGAATCTATTGAATAGATTGTAATCAGCACCAGCAGCTTGATGTCAGCCTGTTTCAGATCAGGGTGTGAGCCTGAACCACAGGCTGGAATGTGGGTAGGGGAAAAAAATACCCAAAACATACTACCCTTGATCTAGAGCAGAATGAATCCAGAAAGGACCAAAGCTGCCTCAGAAGAATGGGCCAGGGTGCTTTCCCTGGGTGTCTGTGCTGAGGCTGTTACACCTCCCCTTGCACACTCAGAACAGTTGTGTGGACATGGGTGTGTAAAGGAAAACATCCAGCACCAGTGTAAAGCTCTGTGAAGGCAGCTGAGCTCAGGCAGCTCCTGAACTCTTTTGGGCTGCAGGGAGGGGCCATCATTGCTGTAAGTCTGTCCCACAGACTGAGTGTTCTCTACCAAGCACAAAATCATCCTTAACCCCCTCAGAAGTGGGAACTCCTCTGGTGTAACAGGTCAGTGTGCTGGAATCAAATCAAATCCTGAAGCAATTGATCCAAGTTAGCTGTTGTTCCCAAAAGCTCGAGGCCAGCAGTGCAGTGAGTGCTCTGGAGAAGGCTGGTTCTGTCTGGGAGCTCCTTCCCTGGGAGCTGGCACTGCGGAACAGGAGCTGCTGGAGAGAGCAGGCTGAGAAAAGCTGAGGAGAACAGGACAGTTTTTTGGCCAACGCCTCTGGCAATTAGGCTAATAAAGTCTTCACTCCTCTCCCTGCACGATGGAGATGTAAAATGAGCACCAATGCCATTTCAAATTGGAAGAGCCCCTTTTATGTAGTGTGTAAATGGCAGGGAATGGAGGTTATATGGTGCTTGGAAAAAGCCCTGTGAAGAATTTTTCCCTGGGAATAATTTCCAAAGAAAGAAACAGCAAAATAAGTTGTTTTTTTAACAGTTCTTGTTGGCAATAAACTTGAGCGGAGTTGGAAACTGCTGTGTTTGTTCTGACTTTAGATCCTGCAAGATAAGCAGGGCTGTGATGATGGGTCTGTGGCTTCTTGGGGCTGCCAGAGCCGAGGCAGCTGCAGGGTTGGGCTCTGGGGCCCCAGGTCACCCAAATTTGGTGCCTCAGGGAGGTATCAGGGGCGTAGGGAAAAGGCCTCAGTCCTGTGTGATGGGTGCAGAATTTCTCGGTGCCCATCCATCCACACTGCTGGTGTGCCAAGACTGGTGCTCTCTGCCAGTCACTCCATACTGTTCCTGTTCCTCCAGACCAGAAATCCCACAGTTTCTGGGCCATGCCGATTCTCCCCCTTCATCGACACTGGGCCTGGAGTGCTTGGAACGTGTCGGAGCCCTCCGTGGTGGAAGGAGCAGTGTCAGCAGACATATCCCCTTTCAGCAGGACAGCCAAGCCAGGAAACATTCTGTCTGTGCTCTTGTGCTGCCTCTTCTTGTCAGAATGGATTTCCTGGGAAAACAGGAGATGCCCGTCAGCACGGTGGAACCACTCCAAGGGCGGTTACTGAAAATCCAGCTGGACAAGGGAGGAGGTGATGGCAGAACACATGGGATGCTGGAAATATCAGTGACCAAACAGAGAAAAGGGGGTGTAGATAATCCTGTGGCCTCCTGCTGTGTAACAGGAGGGATGAGAGCAAGGAAACACTGTAGATGCAAAGGTCAGTGACTCCAGCTCTCATGTGTGAGCAGGTGGAAGGGGCTGGTGATGGGGGTGGGAACTTGTCCCCTCCCCTGTCCCTGCCCTGTTTCTGATGTCCTCCTACAGCTCAGGGGCAGTTAGTTTACCTTCTACTGAAACCTCTTATTTTTGTTTCTCTTTTTCTCTGGAGCAACCTGGTCTAGCAGAAGGTGTCCCTGCCCAAGGCAAGGGGTCAAAACTAGGTGATCTTTGAGGTCCCTTCCAACCAAAACCATTCTGTGGTCCTATGATTTCACCCACCTATTAGAAGTGGTTGACTCAAGTCAGGGTGTTGTCACCTGAGCACAGGGACATTCCCAGTGCCACCTGGAGCAGGGACAGCACTGTGCCAGCACCCTGGTCGGGCAGTGTAAGCACAACATGTGTGTCACACAGGCAACTCCCGCTGCCTCGGCCAGGCTGCTGCAGGGATTGCTGGTAGAAATCTAGCTCTGCTGGAAGAGATTCCAGCTGCTGCTGAAGGGTGTTTCTTGTACGGAGTGACGAAGGCCAGACTCGGAAGCTCTTACCCTGACCTGGACCATCCAGCTCCAGTGGGAACTGGAACAGCATCCTGTCAGCCTGCAAGTGGAGCCTCAGTGCTGGCTCTTCACTCATGGCAGGATCGCTCTGCAGGCACAGATAAGCAGCCAGCAGTTGGTCTTGTGTGTAATGTGCACGGATGCTGTTAATCCTGAGATTAGCCACGGCTAATTCTGGCTCTTTGGCCTGTTAGAAATGGAAAACGCTGTTCTGAAACTTGTGGAGTGACATCTGAGTTAGGCACAGACAGAAAAGAGTGAGAAAAGACCAAAGTTCCTAATCTCTTTGTGAAATTACATCTTTGAGGTGCTGCAGTCCTGCACTGTAGGAATTCTTAGCTCTTCCTTGCAGGACCTTGGGATTCTAGTGAAGATTTTGGGCTGGGGGGGTCCCAAAGGCCAGTCACTTGGCTGGTGGCAGGTAGTGCTGTTCTTACCTGCCCAAGAATCTGAATGGAAGAAAGTGAGCAGTAGTCCAGGCAAATATATTTATAATGACTTTTAATGTATATTACAGCTTGACACTGTCCATAGGTAGCACTGGTCCAGGTGTTTGCCCAGGATGTGGAGTGATAGTCCTAGGGATGTTGACCCTGCTGGCCGTGTGTGCCCTGTGATGCTCTGTGTTGTCTGCTTTTGATTTCCACTGCCCTCCTCAGTGCCGTGGGATGTGGAGCAGCAGCATGGCAGGTCCTCCAGGCTGTGTAGAAGTGGGAAGCATTGAGGACATGCTTGGAGATGAGTTTGTTCTGTTTTGCTACCGGGGCTTCCGACCAGCTGTGTGGTTCAGAGCCATGCAGAGAGCACGTCTGGGAAGGAAAGATCCATCCCAAGATCTCCAAAATAAGCCACTCAGCACCCTGTCTTCCCACTGTGCCCTGGAGCCAAAGGTGGTTCCTCACGGCTGCAATCCCGCAGGGCTTTGAGCCCTGGGACAGTGGGCTCGTGGTGCCAGCCCCGCTCACCGCCGGCCTCTCTCCTGCAGCGCTGCGAGTCCTGCAAGCAGGCGGTGCCGGGGGACTGCCCGGTGGTCTACGCTGACCGCGCCGGCTACGCCCGGCAGTGGCACCCGGCCTGCTTCGTGTGCTGCCGCTGCTCCGAGCCCCTCGTCGACCTCATCTACTTCTGGAAGGGCGGGGCCGCCTGGTGCGGGCGCCACTACTGCGAGAGCCTCCGGCCACGCTGCGCCGGCTGCGACGAGGTACCCGCCAGAGCCCCCGGTACCCCAGAGACCACCCAGAGCCCCTGGTACCCCAGGGACCACCCAGAGCCCTTCATCCCCCCAGGGACCAGCCAGAGCCCCTCATCCCCCAGGGACCACCCAGAGCCCCTGGTACCCCAGGGACCACCCAGAGCCTCTGATCCCCCCAGGGACCACCCAGAGCCCCTCATCCCCCAGGGACCACCCAGAGCCCCTGCTACCCCAGGGACCACCCAGAGCCCCTGATCCCCCCAGGGACCACCCAGAGCCCCCTGATCCCCCTGTGCCAGAGCAGAGACTGGCCAGAGCCCCCTGATCCAACCAATGCCAGGATAGGGACCATCTGGTCTCTACTGCTGCCAGTGCCAGGATCCTGGCACAGGCTCAGTTAGGGTTTCTGAGCAACCTGCTCTACTGGGAGGTGCCCCTGCCCATGGCAGGGGGTCGGAATGAGGTGACCTTTACAGGTCCCTGCTAACCCAAAGCATGTTATGATTCTTTTCTGTACCCATTCCCAAAGCCTGGCCTGCGCGGTTGACGGGCTTGGTGGCAGGTGTAGGGCTGGCTGTCCCCGCTCCTGCACACTCCAGCTTGGCGAGAAGCTGGCAATGAGCAGCGGTGTCTCTCTGTTTGTGCCGTAGATCATCTTCTCGGAGGACTACCAGCAGGCAGAAGGGCTGGCCTGGCACAAGAAGCACTTTGCCTGCCTGGAGTGTGAGACGCCGCTGACGGGCAAACCCTTCTCCCTGGCCAACAGCAGCCTCCTGTGCACCATCTGCAGCCAGAGCAAGCGCCTCTGAGCAAGGCCCCACCAGGACTGGGGGCGTTTGGCAAGTACAGGAGAAGGAGAAGGAGAAGGTTAAAGAAATTAGAGCCTGAGTATTCACTTGCATCCAGCACAGCCTGGTGGGAGTGCTTCCCCGGGGTCCTCTTGGATCCGAAGGGAACCCTTATGCCCGTGGGTGGGAGGTGCAGGGCATACCTGGCCAGGAGGGGCTGTGCTGTGCTGGTTTTTATCAAGTCTGTCCAAGCTTCTAATGACTAAGGTCTTGCAGTAGTATTTTGGAAATAACACATCTCAACAGTAACTTCTGGCATACTAAACCTACGGTCATGGTCAAAACCAAGGGGTGTTTGTGGTTTTTGAAATCCTTACTGGAATTAGGCTGACAGGCTGCTGTGGCTGTGCTAGGGCAGTGGGTTTGAGGAGTTTGATCAACCTTCTAAAAGCAAATGGTGTAAAACTGCAGCCACACGCAGCTGTAGCTTTGTCCTCTGCACATGCAGTGGTGTAAAACGAGGAGTGGACACACAGAGGTCTGGGCTGAGCCCCATGAGGGGCCAGGACACAGCTCTGCCTGGGCAGCAACTGGCTCAGCCCCTGGAGCTGCAGCCGTGGGACTGGAACACAGAGGATTTTGTGGAAAACTGCTTTCCAGCCTAAGGTTTCTTGGAGGCAGGGCGTGTGTGTCCTGAGATGCTGCAGTGCTGCTTTTCCCTGTAATACATCAGTGACCCCTCCAAGTACCAGGGAGCTCTACCTTCCCCTTGGAGCCAGCAGGACCTCACCCTGAGCTCTGCCCTGCTTCTTGTCCTACAGCTCTCCTGTCCCCTCTTGGATCTGATGGGAGTGACACTATTCCAGGATCCAGCACTGAGTCCCTGAGAATTGTATTTGTTCCCCACATCAAGCAATGTCACTGAAAACATCAGCTATTCCAGGCTGGCAGGTGTCTCTGTGCTCAGTCTGTTTTCTTATATTAAAAATCTACATTATTTGCCAGAGAACTGGAATATTTTCTCACCAAGGTGAGTGTGCAAGGAGCTCACAGCTGCTGGGGGTTCTTTGTGCTCAGAAGACACCAGTTTCTCCTCACAGCCTGCTCCATTCGGTGGGTGTTTGCTTGCCTCTGGTTGAATAACTCGGAGATGGGAGCTGGGTGGTGCTGTACCTGCTGCAGGGTTGGAGCAGGTGAGCTGTGGGCCCTCAGCCACTGCCTCAGGGGTCCCTGCTCTGCTGCTGGGGGGAGCAGGGCAAATCCAGCCCTGTGCTGGAGCAGGTGTAGGGCCATACCTGGGTGTGGGTGCAAGAGCCTCCCACACCTCCTCCAGCCCTGTGCACAGCCACTGTGCTGGGTGGAATTCCTGGGAGCACTGGGGTGTTTGGAGGAACTCCATGGGAAGCTGGAGCAGAGCAGGGAGGTCCCAAGGTGCAGAGAGAGGCAAGGTCTCTCCCAGCCCCCCACGGGTGACACATTTGCTGTATCTGGGATCAACATCTACACTTGAGCAGTTTAGAGTCTGTATTTTCCAAGGGACCCCTGTTCTCATGGGGTCCCTCCTGCCTGGGGAGCTGTGGGGGAAAAGGGGATCCCCTCCCACCACAGCCAGGGTTCAGATGCAGCCCAGACTCCTCTCAGTGGAGAGGAGCTGGTTCTTTCTGGCTGCAGAAGAATGTGCGTGGTGGGAGCTCGGGCAAATGTCAGAGGCACAGGGAGAGGACAGGCTTTGGGGGGAGCACTGGGGTGGCCCTTCCCTTGTCCCCAGCCCTCGCTCCCAGGGACTGTGAGGGCAGGGCTGGGTCATCCCCATCACCCTCCCTGCAGAGCAGTGGTCTCTGACAAGAGGGAGTTCAAGTTCACTTTGTGCACAAGGAAAGACTCTAGGGAGACCTGGTAGCACCTTCCAGAACCTCAAGGAGTCCAAGAGAGCTGAGGAGGGACTTTGGGCAAGGGAAGGTGACAGCCCACTGTGCATGTTCCGAGTTTTGATTTTGTGACCTAGAAACTGTAATTCTTCTCTGAAGTCCCTGTTCCAGCACACACCTGCTTCAGGCTTTTGGCATTGCTGGCACCTGCTCAAGCCTTGCAGATTTTTCTGCAGCTCGTAAAGTACTGTCTGCTAAAAAATGTACTGCAATTAAACAGCTAAATAAAATCCTGTGCCTCTCCAGTGTCAGGAGCAAAAGCCTGAAACTAATGCATCTAACAGCTCAAAGATATGGCAACCTTTAGTGTTGATATTAGGACTGAAATTCAGTGTAGGCATGAGAAGATCCTCCCCCCAGTGAGGACATTCACTGGGTTTTGTCACCCAGACAGAGGCAGCAGCTCCTGGAGGCAGCTCAGGGGCTCTGGGGTTCAGAGAGAGGGACTGGGCAGAAACCACATTTCAGCAAAGTTTTGCAAACTGAAGTTTTTCAGAGCTTTACTGCTCTGAATCTGCAAATATTTACAGTGCTGTCTTATTTGTGGTCCCTTTTTTTTTTTTTAAGAAATATCTGAGGCAGCAGAAGGGCCCGTCTGTCTGTGGAAGATTTCACCAGTGGAGAGGCAGAGGCTGTTTAAGGACAGCAGCTCTGTGCAGGTCACCTTCCTCCTCTTGGGTTCCCCACAGCATCCCCCCCAACACTGGGGTTATCGCCCCCCTCTCCACTGCATCCCCGTGAGCACTTGGATCCTCCCCACCTAGGGCCAGATGTCCCCTAGGACATCAGTATTGTCCTTCACCATTTATTTCCAAAAAAAACCTGTTCACTTGGATACCTCTGCAATGAATTGACTCGGTCCTGACTTATTGGAATTGATGGATTCTCCTGATTTGCCCCAGTGGTAACAAACAGCCACAGAGAAGCTGTGAGCCTGGGTATAACAGTAACAACCTGATCCGTGGGTGGAGGACTAATGCCTTAAAGAGAAACTTTTAAGGGCTTTTATTAGTGCAGTCAATTCTTAAAAGAATGTGATTTCAGATACCTATAACTAATAAACCTCAAAATTCAGTGGCTGCAGGTGAGAAAAACATAAACCAAAGGCAGAGTGAGGTGGCTATATAAACACTATAATAAAACTTGCTTTAAAGCCCCAGAGAGAAAAATTTAGAGGGGAAAAAACAAGTATTCATGAAGTGTTGGTGTGTTCCAGTGGAAACTCGTCCAGAGAGCTGCAGCAGCTGCTGCTTTAGGCTGAGCTAAAGAAGGCTCATATGGCTGTGTGTTATTCTGTAAAAAGCCAGGTTAATTATGGCTATATAATCTAATTTGAGCTTTTAGTTACTTTTTAACTCCCCTTCTTCAGCTGCATCTCCAAATAAGTAAACCTCTCCACAAAGAGGGGTTTGTGGATTGTTGCCTGACTTTAGGAGCTGATGCAGGTGAGGATCCCCAGCAGCCCCAAGGCTCAGGGCTCATCCCACAGTGCTTCCCTACAGGAATACCTGACTGATGTTCTTGCATGTCTGTGCACTGCAGGGAGCAGTAATAAAGTAAGTGGGTATCCCTGCCCATGGCAGGAGTTTGGAATGATCTCCAAGGTCCCATCCAACCCAAACCATTCCATGACTGATAAAGATGAGGTGAAGGGCACCAGTTTTGTCTGCCTGGGAAGTGAAGAACCTTCTGTAGAAATCACAATGGATAGTGTTCAAATAACCCCTGTAGTTGGTTAAGCAGCTTCCAGGTGTCAGCTCACACCGCCTTGCAGGCAGCAGTGAGTTCTTCCAGCATCTCCTAACGGAGATGAGGGTGGGAGGCCGATCCCTGATGGCTTCCTTTGCTCCCCCAAGGACCCAGAGATGACCTGGGAGCACCTCTGGGCAACAACCACCTGCACAGTGTGGGTTGGCCCTCAATCATACAATAGAATCACAGAATCATTAAGGTTGGAAAAAACCTCCAAGATCATTGAGTCCAACCTTCAACAGAATTCCACCACGCCCACTGAACCATATCATGAAGTGCCACACTGATTCATTTTTTGAATGCTGAGGATGCTGAAGGAGCTGGAATTTTCTGGGATTCAGGCAGAAACCCCAGGAAAAGCTCTCTCTGCAGTGGTCTCGTGAATTTTTGTTGAAAGCAGCCAAAACAAGAAGAGCACTGTAATTCCAGTTCTCCAAGGGAGTGGCTGGGTTCCTGCACAGATGTGGGGGCTCAGCATCCCACCAGCTGGGAGCAGCAGCCTGGGAAGGCCATGGGCTGTCTGCAGGGTGTGAGCAGCATTTAATTCCAGAGGCTCATTGCCCCAGGACACAGTCAGCCCTTTGAAAATGCACTTTATTGGAGCCCCAAAGCAATCAACAGCTCCCTGTTACAACCAAACACATCTGGGTTGGGTTTCGGATTTATCCCTTGATTCCTGCCACAGGGGGCTGGTGCTTTGCCAGCCCATTGTGTCTCAGTTGCAAACAGATGGTACAGGCTAAAAACGGGACAGTGTTCAAAACCAGCCCAGAAAATTCAACGTCAACCTGCTGGCCACGTGTCTGTGGATGGAGATCTGCCCCTCTGCCCTGTCCCCAGGTGGAGGCTGCACCCTGGGGACGATGGCACATGGTGGCCAAGCAGAGGCTGACACCAAGGGCCCCATCCCCACCCCTGGTCTGACCTCACATTCTTGGGCAGGCAGACCTCACAGTGGAAATCCATGAACCCACCCGTTCCCTGCTAGAGCTCTTTAATTTCCCAGCCTCTGATTTGCCTCTGCCTGGAGTTTTTTCTCAAACTAAGCAAAGCCAAGAACCAAAGATGACCCAAGAATTTTGTTGTGATGGAACGTTTACTCCTTGGAAGAGGATCAGTAGGTTAACACTCACCTTCATGGCAGCCTGTCCAGTTCACATTTTGGTGACTAAGGCACCATAAAGAGCAGCTGCTGCAAGGAAGACACAAGGACTTTTGCTTGCAACACCCCCCACTCCTTCCAGGCTGCTATTCAGCCTCCAAGACCTTATGCCAAAATTCTTCCCTCCAGACAAAGTGGGCCAGGTTTGCTCTGCTGCTCCTCACCTGGCTGCAGCAAGATTCCACCAGGGAAGGCAACCCAGGGAGTTTAATCCAAGTGCACTTTCCTGCTCATTCAAAGCTGGGTGTAAAGTCACACAAGGGACTATTGAGTGGGGTGCCACATCCAGCAGTCATCCAGATCTCAACACCATGCCTTGTCAGGATGTTTAAAGCCAGACCAAGGGAAAAAATGATAGAAAATGCAAGAAAGGTTTTCTCTTGAATATTGAAGAGCAGGCTACAGCCTCAGAGAGAGATCAGTCACATTCTGAGTGCCCAGGGGTATGGAAGAAAAAAGGATGGGATTCTGGAAAAGGAACACAAAACAATCCATAATTGAGCCACTGATGCCATCAGCTGCATCATACTCCTTCCAGTGGGAAAATGCTTTCGACACTGACTTGATTTCCCCAATCGCAAAAAAAGGTTCCTCTTTAAGAATAGCTTAACTTCTTGTCCTAAACTAATGTCTGTGTGCAGTATTATGGGCTGGAATGTCAAACACAGCCAGCAGGAAGGGCCAGGCTCTGCCTCCATCCTGGCTGGACTGGCACACCGAGGATCAGGAGAACACTGGGACAGCCATTTGTTGAACTTTTATGGTTTGAATATTTTGCCTGATAGTCAAGTAAATTTTGGTCTATTCTAACCCAAGCAGGAGCTACCCTTTCCAGTTTCAGTGTAAACAGAAGGATTTGATTTGTCTAAATGTTGTCCTTTTGGAGGGAAAATAAGTCTCAAAGAGTAAGATATTTGTAAGTTTTTCAGTTTGTTTGTACTAAGACAATCAAAGGTCTTTGTTTGTTTCTGGTGTGCCCCCATGAGTGCATCCCCAGCATGCCGAGGGGGCCAAACACTGTCCCCCAGGCTGAAGCTGGTGTGGCTTCCAAATTCTCTGGGACCTCCCTGGGGACTGATTTTGGGGGTTGGGTTATCCCTCTTTAACCACATTTAGTGTGCTGGAGCCAGCAGCCCCCCACCTGGAAAGTGGGGAAATGTCTCTAAGTGTCACAAATTTTTTGTGACATTTTTCAACCTACAAACTCTAAAGCTCTGTTACAAAAAATTGCTAACGTCACCTGGAGCAAACCAGGAACAAGGGAAAATATGTTTAGTGTGGCTCCAAAGAAGGGCTGAGGCAAGGCCAGACCCCGAGAGCTGCCCTGCATCAGCCCCGGGG